TCTGTATGTGGGATCCGAACCCTTGGCGGGAGCGCCGCCGCGCTTCCCAAGTGGCACACTATCGCAGTGCGCCACCGGGCCGGCCCCTGAACAAGTTTTTATAGAACCTGATAAAAAGTTCTTAACTATATTTTAAAGAGAATATAAAAATATTTATTTACTTTTCTTTCTCTTTTATTTTTTATTAGCATATTCGTTATTACAAATAGTAATTATTCTTTATGCCTCTTACCTGACCAATCACTCCCCAACCCCTCTCCCTCCACTCCCCCTTTTCTAGTAAACTTAGGTTTCTTCTCTCCTTCTGAAAGTTGAACATATTATTGAAGTTTCTTTTTTTCTTTCTCCTTCCTTCCTTTCTTTCTTTAAAATTTTATTGGTTATGCATATTGATGGGGTACAAAGCTGGCCATCACCACCTGTGCCCAAGATGTGACGGCTATATCAATACTATCAGCATGTCCATTACCACAAATTGCAATTATTCCCCATGTCCCCCACCCAATTAATCCCCAACCTATGAAAGACCATAGAAGACTATGGTCTTTCTTTCCTTCTTCTTTCTCTCTTAGCTCCTACTTATGAGTGAGGACATGTGGTATTTTTCCCTCTGTGCCTGGCTTATTTCACTCAACATACTTTTCTCCAAGCTCATCCATGTTGCTGCAAATGGCAGAATTTCATTAATTTTTATGGCAGAGTAGTATTAAATGTTGTACATATATCACATTTTCCTTATCCAATCATCCATCAATGGACATTTAGGTTGGTTCCGTATCTTGGCTATTGTACCTAGAGCTGCAGTGAACATGGGAGTGCAGGTATCCCTTCGACATGATGATTTCCAATCTTTTGGGTATATGCCCAGTAGTGAGATTGCTGGATCATATATGGTAGTTCTATCTGTAGTTGTTTGAGAAACCTCCATACTGTTTTCCATGATGGATGTATTAATTTACAGTCCCACCAACAGTGTAGGAGCATTTACTTCTCTCCACATCCTCATCAGCATTTGTTATTCTCTTTTTGATTACAGCCAGTCTAACTGGGATGAGATGATATCTCAATGTAGTTTTGATTAGCATTTCCCTGATGATTAGTGATTTTGAGCACTTTTTCATGTACCTGCTGGCCATTTGTATA